TACGGTAGAGGATCGCTCAGGTAAGAAACTCCGGTTGACGTTGCGGCGCCATTCCTCATTTTAGCTTCGTCCTATCACATCGTTTCAATGTTGTCATCAGACTTGCCGTACTGGACTCCTATGGACAGTTCGTCTTCTGTCCTGACTCCCCATGTTAGTTGAAACTCAATTTGTCCCTCGGGCTTCTTTGCTTATGACAGCTGGATTGAGTCATCTGATTCTCGACCTCAAATATCAGGTCTGTTGGTCCGCATTGCTTTCGCCATCGTCCGTTACCCCCTGCGAAGTCCCTGACTTCGCCAGCTTATTACGTGCAATCGAGTTCCTCTAACTAGCTGCTACTACTTATTACATAAATCCCAATCCTAACTTTTTCAGTTGAGCATCAATAGCTGCGATTGAATTCCAATCCGCGGAACCCTCCCAAGGGTCGGATGTGCCCAGGCGGTACGGACGCTTGGACAGATTTGTCACCGACGCAGGAAGATTCAAAGCACAACTCTGGCCGGAGGTGCCCTTAATCATTGCTCTTGCTCTTACACTTTGATTGTGAGTTTGCAATTCCTAAATATAATCTTCACGGCAATTCTTGTCTAGTTTTTCCTGACAATTGCCGATTCAGCCCTTGATTTGGCGCGTGGGGCCTACTTTCTTCAGCCCTATCTGTTCCGCTATTTTGGTCCAGTAATTCGAGATAGCTGGCCCAACATGTTCATGAGTATCCACCTAAACGTCTACTCCTTTCTCGCCCAACGACCGTGCCATGGCGCACTGGCCTTCATCGAGGTTTATCATTGTTCGTTGCCATCGGAGGCTGGTACGCCACGTAGCATTCGCTCAACCAGCCTCGAGGCAGCTGGGGCCCTAATTCTCGCGTTGTCCTTTGCCTGTCTATAGTCACGGGGGGTAGCCGGGACCTCATCCCATAGGGTCTTGTCGGGGCAGGCCGTTTAGGTGGCAATGCCTGGGTCAACTGCAAATTCTCGCGGACAATCCCGACCTGTCTAACGGTGCGAGAATTTCTATTCGAGTGTGCGTTAGGTCTTGGGCTGCAAGATAAAAGTTGACGAAAGTGAAATTTTAATAGCTTAGCGGCCTGATAAATAAATTTACACGAGATGATCTTAGATTGATAACAAAAAAAACTAGCATATTATAATTGAGCATGTCACACGTTGGAGTCGAATGTGCTGCCAACACTGATTCCTTCCGAGCCGCCCTCAGGATCGCACTTTCGGGGAGTCGCCGGAGTGTGATCAAGACGTTCTCTCTTAACGGCATAAATGACCTCGCCGACGCAGGTCATGTGGTAGATGTTGCGTGTGCTGTTAACTGGAAGAGAGAAAGAGAAGTGATGGTAGTCACTCGAGTTTGGTTGAAAATCATGCAGATATATATGTAATGACTAAAGGTGGGGCTAGTTTGGACCAGCCGGGTTTCCCCGCCTTCACTAATGAAGGCTAGCATTGTCTTGGCGAGGTCACATCAAATGGCAGCGCTGTTAGGCGGAACTGTCAAGTCTAGTCAGTGCGGCGCAGCAGTAATAATTGAGGTGGGTCTAATTTGTAGCAACAATGAAATTGGATATGCAAAAAATATAGCAAAGATTGCACAAGTCCCTTTGACGCACTTGTCACGCGTCTAAATGGAGGCCGCTCAGAATTGTGTCCTCGCTCATATTGTATGAGCCGTCCAACTCTTTGGAACATTGATATTATTAGTTGAGCCAGCCTATCTGCATTGGTGAAGCAGCCCGAAGATTGAAGCACGGCCCCATCGGGCACAGATATTACGAGAGTACCCAACCAGCCAGGTTCAACTGAGCGTTGTAAGCTGCTTAGAGGAACAATTAAAGCAGAACATTCGTTAGCAAAAGGATTTGGTGCTCCAGATGTAATACAGGCAGCTCCATGATTGCCAAGGCGCGGATTACTTGACATCACAAGGCTAAATGTGGAAATGATTAAGGTCTGGTGAAAGAATAAAGAAGTGGAGTTGTCGATGCCCTAAGCGGAACCTGCCAAGTGAACTAAAAAGCTAGATATGCCAGGTAATTGTACAAATTGTAATGGATATAAGTGAAAACGCTGAATAAATTTCAAATATAATAGACGAAGTAACTAAATTTTCAAATAATTCAAATGGCCATAATAATTCTCGCCTTCCAAATAAAGAAAAAAGAACATGAAAAGAATGGATTTCGAAGAACAAAACGAAGGGCACTACAACATGAAAGGAAGGGAATAACTAAAAATCAGGTCAAGGGTGGAGACACTAAAACCGTCGGTGATTACCAAGTGTAAATACACTATTAAAACGAAACAAATACTTTGATAAGCGCATAATTATATACAAATAAAACCAAGATAATATTGAGTTAATTAAAAATATTGTAATTATGACAAGGATTAATGTTCAGATGTTTTCGTATATATCGTTGTCATTAAAGTTTTATGGAAAAACCTTAGTAAATTTAGTCTGGCAGCTTGATAGTGCAATAAAATTTTCAAACTTTTATGCAAGAGACTATGTTCTAACTTTTTGCGCCAAAAATCTGGCTCGAGCATTTATACTTGATCCGGATTACACCATATATCCTTGATAACTTGAAAAAGACTAGACTTTGCCTTTGTGTAGTTTTAATACACGATAGCATCAATTTAGGCTGGATAGAACGCCTCTCAGTCTCATAAATTTCCTGTAATTTCTAGATGGAGGCGTGATAAAGTATTTCATTAACTGTCCGAATGACACTTCCTCATTAGATTGAGGAATCGGGGAAGGATACCATTTTATTTACAACAATTTAAAAAGGCCAAATGACAGGATTAACATACAATTGTTTTCTTTGTTCGGCTGTAATTAGTGCATTGTTTGACAATCTTACTTCCATAGTTTAATCGAAGATATGAAGATCAAGATGGCGTGTCCTTTTGTGTGGTCCCAATT